GTTATTTTGCACCAAACAAAATACACTTTTTAAAAGAGAATTGTGTTTGTATTATAATTGTATGTGAAGAGATATTTTAAATTGATACAAAGCAACAATTATTGTATTTAACAATTATATTATATTTTATATATGACACCATGCTGAGGGCTGGAACTGGACCCTGTTTGAGATCTCTACTTTAGTATCTCTAATTAAACAGAGGATTTGTGTATCAAGAGTCCAGACTCGATGTGGTCCAAGTCCTGTTATACTACAGAAAGAAAACACTGTTACGACATCTCATTGCTACAACTTTAAATTGCAATGTTTAACTTCAAACATGTAGATTCAAAATAATTTGTGTTTTGAAATTGAATGGATTGAAAGACATCCATAAACACATCAATGCAGATACTGCTTTATGGAAGATATCAGTGTCACACGTCTTATAGTAACCACGAGTAGGGGGCTGTGGTCCATGGTGTAAAATACCTAACAGGTAAACATAAATACTATTATGAATATATTCCCACATTTAATTCTGTAAGTAAGTGTGTATCAGACTTCATTTAGTAGGTAAATAAATACAGAAATACACAAAACAGCATAAATCAATACAAGACTTACCCTTCAGTTTTCTGTAACTTTATACTTTAAGGCTATTCCCTTTAAGCATTTAATTTCAAACAATCTAATTTTAGGACCCAAAGTCATATTACGTTCTAGAAGATGTGATTCACATTCATGTTTCTTTAGCCTCAGCTTCTGCAGGGTGAAATCTGTTGGACTGTGAATTGAACAACACAAGGGAACTCTGAACTGACTGATAATGAAAACAGGGATTATCTGGCTGACCTGTAAAAAGCTTATTCTGCCCTTTGACTCTGATTATTGGACGTTACCTTTCGTATGAGGCGGATAGAGGAATGCTGGAAGACAGCAGCGTGTTATATGGGAGGAGGGAAACAGTTAAACCTGATGAAACAGGTCAGGTAACTAATCTGTGATAAAGTGCACTCCTGAAGAATGATAATGTAACAAAACTCTGTGTGATATGACATAAATGTATCAGTAGAGAACAGAAAGGTTCAAGTAGAGTGAAATTTAGATAGAGTTCCCTTTATGGTAAAAAAAAAAAAAGAAGAAAAAAAAATGTATAAATTGTTGAGGAAGAATTTAACAGCCTGAGGGAGGAAGCTGTCTGTACGTCTGGTCGTACAGCAGCAGAAGCTTCTGCAGCCTCTTCACACAACAGGCTGTTTAAATTAGCTTGCTGGTAGGTCAACTGCATCCACATTTGCATCATGAGTCATTTAGGCCATAAAAGCGACCGTATTATTATTATTATTATTATTTTTTTTTTTTTTTTATTATTGCTTCTCTACTGTGATTGAGTCCTGTTTCTTCCACCCTGACTGCTGTGAGCCTGACACACGTGACCTTTGTGTAGTGTAAAATGTTTTGAATCTTGAATATATAAAGCGTCAGTCAGTCATAAGTATTGATAATTGATATTTATTAACAGATATTCAGAGAAGCTGTTGCGTGCTATTTCAGAAGTTATGTTGCAAACCGAGTAATCCTGTTTTCTGGAGGGCAGGTATCTGACTGATGAACTCCTTGCACCTTCCTGTGAATGGTGGGGTATTTAATCTTTTTTTTGGTTTATATATGACCTGAGAACAACTGGGCACTTTCATGGACTCAGTTAATGGCATTTTTTATGTATTTTGTTATAATTTGGTTTCACATGTACATTGTCGATTTCATAATTTTTTACAAAGTAGTTTGAACTACTGTTTCTAAGCAGCTTTAGGTAACCAAGCTATATTTCTCTGTATGGTAGTTTCGTGTAAATTTGCTTCCCCAACACTGTGTAAATCATTAAATAAATATTAGCTAGCAATGTTTGAAACAGAAAGAGCATTTTATTTGTTATTTAATCCTTGTTTTATATGAAATGTAGCTTTGTGTTGTTTTCATCTGTGGTTTTATTTATTTTCGGTGTTTTGATTATCAGCATTGGTTGATTGGGATGTGAACACTGCAATTTCCATGTTTTTGTGAATGAATAAAGACAATATCTACAGATGCATGCACAACAATGGAAAATATGGGTCTTATGATGCTTTTAAAAATATTTTGCAGTCACTTAGTCGTCATGTGGCTTTGAGAAATGCTAATCCAAAGTAGAGAAGGAAACAACAGCGAAGGCAAATTCACCTTTAGGTTTTAGTTTAGACCTTGGACCAGTAAATAACCCCTGTGAGTGTCTAGGGTCATCAACTGTGCAATGTTTTGTAAGTCCTATTATACGTTGATATCCTGATAACCTTGAAAGTACTGTAATTGAAATCACTGGAAGTGATCCCAGTTAGGTTTCGCTCTCGTCTGCCCAAGTAGCTCTGCAATTCAATACCAACATTTCCCAAAGTGGGACATTTCCTGCAGTTAAATCTCATCAAAAGGTTTCTGATGGGCTTTTTGGGGTCTGTGACATGACAGCGTTTGAGAACTGTAGAAAGAAAGAAAAAAAAAGAGCATTGGTTTATTGTTTCCAGTGTCAGAGAGCTGTGGTTGCTGCAGCTGCATGAATGTGAGCTTCTGTGGAAGTAAGTATTTTTCAAAGGCAGTGCAGAGAGAAGAGCCTCGTGTAAGAGTGGTAGATGGATAAAAACCTGCGATCTGATGAGGACCCTCACTGAGGAGCAGGTCCCACTCAGCCTCACCTAATGGGACTGAAGAGGATGATGGGTAACCAGGGCAGAGGGGCTGTGAAGATGATCAGATGATCCATTTTGTGCAGTGAGTCATACAACACATGTGGCTAAATGACAGAGAAAAGAATAGTAGATAAATTGTGGTTTATTAGGGGGTCTGAGGGCAGAGGGGACCTTGTTCTCAGGTCTCTGATCATTTTTAAGTTAAATATTTTGAAATATATTAATATTCCTTAATGAAAAATTAATTTAAATGTGGTTCTAACACTGTTCCTAATTATAGTGGCTCAGAGAATTCATGAGCAACTCTGTATTACCAATTAATCCATCAGTTGTTTTCTAGAGTAACTGATTCATTGTTTAGTTTATGAAACGTCAGCAAATAGCAAAAAATGTCCATCGCAGTGAGGTGACGTCTTAAAATGTCTTTTTTTCTTTGTTTGACCAGTCTAACAGTCTAAAACCCCCAAAATCATTAAAGATCCTCTCCAGACACGTTTTACAACATATTCAAATAATCTGCATGGAACAATAATGTGTGTGTGATGTGTGTTTTCAGCAACAAATAACCCCAACTGGTCGTGGCAGACGACCACCCACTTAGAGCCGGGGTCTGTCCGAGGTTTCTGTCTCTTAAAAGGACGTTTTTCCTTGCCGCTGTCGCCAAGTGCTTGCTCATGGTGGGAACTGTTGGGAAAATAATTTATAAGGAGTACAGTCTAGACCTGCTCTATCTGAAAAGTGTCCTGAGATAACTTTTGGCCTGAATTGGCGCTATACAAATAAAGCTGAATTGAAAATAAAAAAGTATAATTTCCACATTAAAATCCTTAAAAAGACAAATTCTCCTTCTACCTCATTAAAATGACCAGACTGTGAATATGCTAATTTAGTCCATTCTTAGTGTTTGTGCACTGGTGGCTTCGAGTTTCTACATCACACTTGTATAAGTTGCACACTGGACCAGAACTACACCTAATGAACGCCACTGGGACTTTAATCTCTGCAGGAACTTATAATAAATGCACATCCATCATCCAATAACAAATATAGGAAGAATACTTTTTTCCTTTTCAGGAAGAAGCACATGCATCAGTTGTGTTTGTAAACAGTTGTTTCTTAAATATTTCTGCACAGACATTGAAGCAGTGGCATGTAACAGACTTTGAACAGGAGCATTTACAAGACAGAAACTGAAGATAAAGAACCTTTAGGGCAGTGATACAAAAACATACTGTTGTTTATAATCAAAGCGGCTTTTAATACGTCTAATAAAGGTTCCTACATTTTCAGTTCATCAAGCTGCTTAAATAATGTTATGCAATAGGAGCAAATGTTCATGTGTGAACCAGATCTAGTGCAATGGTTGACTTCAGCTGTCTGTGCCAAGACTCACAGAGCAGAAAAAAACACAAAGAGCTCTCACTCTGCTGCTACTTCTGGGCACCAAACAAACAACCCGCAGTCTGCTCCAAACAAAACAAACAATAAAGGGGGAAACAGCTAGACTGGTTTACCAGATCACTGATTCTTATCATTAGTAGTGTTTTATACTGATTAACTACTCTGGAAAATTGTGATGGATTTATGGTGAAACAGCTTCGTAAGTGTTAGGATTGATTTTACCCCCTGGAGGGCAATGTATTATTCCAATGGAAGGGCACCTTAAAGGGCACTTAATTAAATTTTCTCCACTGGAAGAGCTACCTGGAAGGCCTTTTATTGTGTTTTCTCTATTAGACGGGTACTTTTTCATGTTTTGTCCACTTTAAAGGCACCCTCGAGAGCACTTTGTTTGCAAGGGGACCCTAGAGGGCACTTCATAACGTTTACTCCACTAGAAGAGCTGCCTGGAAGGTGTTTTTTAGTGTTTTCTCCACTAGACGGGCACCCTAGAGGTCACTTTGGGCCTGTCCTCACGAATACGGTTTTCTCGATTCAGGATAAATACTTTATCGTATCGGCCCAGACGGATACGGCGTTTTCGGGGTGTGAAAATGGTATTTTTTGGAAACGGGTCCCAGAGTGGATTTGAGATTTTTTCCGAAACGACATCGTATTGGGTGAGGCCGCGTATTCGTGAGGACAGGCTCTTTATCGTCCCCTTTCTAGACAAGAGGGACTAAATCATCCCAATCCAAAGGAGTGGAACTTGTTTCCACAGGGGGCAACAGTCCTAAAAAAGTGATCCAGTTATTTACCCCAGAGTGAATCATCTTCCCTCCAGAAGATCTTGGGCGCCACAGCTCCTTCTCTGGGAATGTCTGATGACCTGTAGTGAAACTCCAGCCGAGTCAGCACTTCTGGGCCCGATATAAGCCGCTGCCTCCCGCCTTTCACCCTCTTCTGTGCGGAGACACAGTCTGCCAGAAACCGTTTCACCAGAACCAAACAACAACCACCTCCTCCACCACCTTCTCCTCCACATCAACACAAAATGACCTCCGCCGCTCAGCCCATATTCTCCAAGGGAGAGGACTGCAAGGCCTCCTGGCACGACGCTAGTGCCGGCTACAATGAAACCGACACACACCTGGAGATCATGGGCAAGCCCGTGATGGAGCGCTGGGAGACCCCGTACATGCACTCTCTTTCGACCGTTGCAGCGTCCAAAGGTAAAGGTGGCGGTTTGAATGCCGTGCATCCATTCTCGGACACGGCGTTCATCTGAAAGGCTGCGTCCGATAATGGAATCCGCCGCATAACAGTTGTTGGAGTTTAACATGAAGTTAATGTCACTGAGTGTTATACATTATCGTAAATATGCCATTTATATGTTACTATATCATTTTTTAATTTTTGGTTGCTGTTAAGTAGGTTAGTAAGGCCTGTATTCAATCAGCATACTGCACCCAACTCTCTAAAATATAAAGTGAGGTGTTAAAAGTGTTTAATAAAAGGTGCATTATACAAATATACTTTAACAATAAAAAAAATTAAAAACAGTTGGAAGTTGGAAAAAATTCCCACAATCATTTTGTTTAAGATATGAATGCTGAAGGTTTTTATTTGTGAGGCTTTTTCCAGTACTGTTTTAAAATGTGTTATTTAACACAAATTTTTGCCTTTTCCTTCATCTTTGGTAAAATGATCCTAGAGGACACGTGTGACAGTGTGAGCAGCATGGTGCTCTGTGCTCTGTGAATACTACAGCAGCTGTTACTCTACTCATGGGGACCGGCCAAGACGTGTGCAGGGGGGAAACAGCTCATCTGCTCTGAGCTTTATGTGAAAATAGACTGATCCACACACCCTCGCAGACGTGTGGGAAGAGACAAGCATGTGCACTGAAACTGTCTACACAACACTGTGCAAATGCACATTTCTCTCTTGCACTTTAAACATGTAGTTTTCATTGGGAAATTCTGGACACTGAAGATGCATTTTCTTATCACAAGGTTACATTTTGTTCACTAATCTGCTTCATTTCTGCAAGTTTATCCAAGGATACATTCTGGCCAAGTCACAATATGTTTGGAGTAATTCCTAAATTCCAAGTTTGTATTGATTGTGTCAATATTTACTGATACCTCTACCACAAACTGAACACCAACTTACTGAAAGACGTGAATTCGAAGCACAAGTTTTGGGATTTTGGGGTCATTTTTTTACATTTTAAGTGACAATTTAAATCAGATATAAAATTTGATTTATTTATTTTTTCATGCAACAATTCTGAATGTGAACATTTTATTTTGCATGCACAGGATGTAAAAATGTGAATGTTGCCTTTATGTGAACTAATTTCAGCTTCATGCAGTTTGCAGATTGAATGCAAAAAATAATTAAATTCAATTTTGGACTGAGCTGCTGATTAAAAGCCCAGTAAATCATCACGAAGGGGTCAAGCAAAAACGAGTAGCCTTTACCCCCTCATCTATTTATATGCTTCTCTGTAAGGAAATGAAACCCTTTGGCCTTTCTGTTCAACCACATGTTACAACCAACTGGCTTTCCCTCCCTCCACGCCCAACACCAGAAGAGTGTAGTCTTTGCTGTACAGCCCCGTTCACACAGAGATACACAGAGAGAGATGTTGCTTTTGTTGTTTTATTAGTTATTAAACATTGCAGATATGCCCAGCTGGAACTGAACTGTTGTATTGAATGAATGAATTAGACCGCTGACTAACACAATGTCTGTTTCTGTTGTTGTTTTTTTTGTCTGGTAGGTGGTCGGGTTCTGGAGATCGGTTTCGGCATGGCCATCGCCGCCACTAAAATCGAGTCTTACCCCATCGAGGAGCACTGGATCATCGAGTGCAACGACGGCGTCTTCGCCAGACTGGAGAACTGGGCCAAGTCTCAGCCCCATAAGGTCAGTAGACCTCAGCAGGCCGATATCATCTGCTCGTTTTTTTTGGTTTATCGCAGATAAGTTTGCCTGGAACATGTTAACCTGTGTGTAAAACTGTTATAGCTGCAGATGATTTAAGTGTTTGTTTACACGTATGTTGCTGCAGGTCGTCCCCCTGAAGGGCCTTTGGGAGAATGTTGTTCCCACCCTGCCAGACAACCACTTTGATGGTAAGAAGTGAAACCAGACATGGCAGGGGAGAAACTTTGATGCACAATCCTGAGTTTACAGTTTTACATTCAAGGGACTTCCTCACACTGAAGCCTGAGATCTCATGTTTGATGTTTGAACTCAGATCTGAGCCTGTTTCACTTCTTGATGGATGAAAACATATTAAAGGTCCAGTGTGTAACATTTAGGAGGATGTATTGGCAGAAATGGACTATAATATTAATAGTTATGTTTTCATTAGTGTATAATCACCTGAATATAAGAGTCGTTGTGTCTTTGTTACTTCAGAATGAGACGTCGCGTTCCCTGGCGACCGCCATTTTCAGCCACCATGTTTCTACAGTAGCCCAGAACAAACAAACCAAACACTGGCTGCAGATAAGGCTGTTAATGTTCTTGGAGTTTCATGGCCACTGTAGTTTCTCCTACATGGCTGTTCACATTCCCAGGTTGTCAAATACAGACGCGAGCGATGTTCAGTTAGTTGCAAACTGCAACTTCACAGCTAGATGCGACTAAATCCTTTAACACACTGGTCCCTAAGGAAGCGTTAAAAACACGTGGAACAACTGAATGATCTACTTGTTGTTGTTCCCTCTTCTCTCAGGTATCCTGTATGACACGTACCCTCTGTCAGAGGAAACATGGCACACTCACCAGTTTGACTTCATTAAGGTGAGAAGCTAAACTCTGCAGTAAATAATAGATTAAAATTAAAAGGAGGATAATTATTGGATACTTGGAATCGTTTGAATGAAAAGTGGATTAAAGATACTGAATAATAGTTCAAAACATGTATTAATAAACAGTATTTATGACTTTAGTGTTAAGATGTTGAAATCAGTCATCATAGATATATTTGGTGTTTGTGTTTGTCCGCAGGGTCACGCTCACAGGATGCTGAAGACCGGCGGCGTCCTCACCTACTGCAACCTGACCTCCTGGGGCGAGCTGCTCAAGACCAAATTCGACAACATTGAGAAGATGTTTGAGGTACGTTTAGTTACCGTCCATACCTCGTTTTATTCTGTGGAATCCCTGAATGGTTGGTGTTTTCAGGGAGACGAGAGATGGTGTAGAGTATTTACTGTAATGTATTTTGTTCAATGCATTATGGGTTATTTTGTGTTATTTAGTACACATACTGACTTTTTTGAGTAATGTCACTTAACGCTACAAAACCTGCTTAAAATGATATGTTGTGTAGAATCAGGAGAGTAAATCACTAATAAATCACTATTATTATAACATATAACCACAATGTTTCTTCATCAGCTGAAGAAAGTAAGTTTAAGCATATGCTGAGCCAGAGGTGGCCCTGGAAGTCTGGAGGCAAATTTCAGTCTGCGTCATGAACAGTGATGTAAAATGTTGTTGATGAAACTAAGAACAGAAACAGAGGAACCAAACTCCAAACAGCAGAAATTCAGATATAAGCTACAAAAGCTGTAAAAGCTGCTGCTGCACCAGGGGTACTGGAGAGGGCAGCTCTTTAGCCCCTCCAGTGGCTCCATGTGACTTTAATGAAAAATTATATAGATTTCATCAAAATGTCGGAAAAAAACTAAAATACTTCTCATATGTTATGTCCTGACCTGGCGGCTTTCCCTCAGTATTTTCTTTATATTGGTGACAACCAGTCTTGAGTCTCCCTAGAAGAGCTATGGACTCCAAATCCCCCCAAAAAAGGAAAGTCTTGGAGGAAAGTGGAGAATTTAATAGTGCATTTAATGTGTGGAGAGATTTGTTTGATTTCACCACCAGTACCGCCACCAGTATGTTTGATCTTCTGCAAGAAATAAGCATTGTTAAGCTTGAATATGTGATGTGGCTGCACATCTATTATATATTTATTTTAATAGTAAAGGTTGCTAACCCCAGCACAAGACCATCTGGAGCTTTATTTTAGATGCACACATTTTGGACAAAAGCAAACATCATAATCTAACCTATATACAGCGACAAGCCATGCAGAAAAAAAACCCTGAACAAGATACTAATTTTTGTGCAACTCAGCGTTGACCACCAACATGAAAACTGACTGAATTTAAGGTGTCTGATCTCCTAACAGAAAAATGTCCTAAGTTTTAATGATGTGTTGCAGTAAATACAGTTTATTTAACATAAGAAGGGTGAAGTTACTGAATACTGACTGTATGATCACTCAGTTACTAAATACTGTTGCTACTCTTTAACATGGAACGTGTATTTCCACAGTTTAGACCTCAAGGTTTGATTGATATGTATCCATGTAGCACTGAGTGCACACCTCCATCAGAGTTGAGCTGAGTGCAACCTGAAATACGTGTCATTGCTTGTATAATTTCAAGGTTAATGATAAACGAGCTGAAGGGTGGGGGCAGATAAAGCCGCGAGCCGCCTCACACTGACCAGCTCTGTCTGTTAATGATTCCCAGGAGACCCAGGTGCCTCATCTGCTCCAAGCCGGCTTCAAGAAGGAGAAAATTAGCACCACCACCATGGACATTGCACCACCCAGCGACTGCAAATACTATTCCTTCAATAAGATGATCACTCCCACCATCATCAAGGAGTAAAGTCCGAAGACGCTGCTGCAATCTTTTGTTTTTTTTTTCTACTGTGTAATGTGCCTTCTCATCTGAACCTCCTCATTTTACCTTCTGACATATTACAATAAATTCATGTCCATCCCAACTCTGTTTACAAGGTGCTCACATTTATTATACACTTATTTAAAATTATTTACAGATTAACATTTTGATGTGAGTTGAAGTTGCTGGTGTTCAGTACGGCTGTGGAGCTCCTCTCTCCCAGCAGACCATTGAAACATTTTACTCTTCACAGCAGCAAATACGTGAGACAACAGCAGACTGAAACCACATTAAACCACCACAAATGCATTTGCTCCCCGCTGAGCCTCATCTGTTTCAGGTCTTAAATCACCCAGTGTCTTTCTCGCCACACGTACCCTAATTTTAGACCGAGCAGAAGACGTACCGCTGCATGTTTAAATGCATAGTTTGTCATGAACTTTAGATAGTCTTCTCTACTCTCTCTACCTGTTAAACATTGCAGTCTCATGTTATTCCTGTGGGAATTTGTCTATAAAATGGAAGAACAAAGCAAAATTGCTCAGCAGCATGTGTGTCAGTGTGCTCTTCTAACAAGCATAAAAATTTAAGGGAAAATACGTAGAACAGCTTTAAAAAATGGATGAAAATCTTTAACATATTTTATGATACATCGCTTAAGTGAAGAATTAGTCTACTGACAGTATGCATAATAACATAATACACTGGTGTCACACACCTTTAATAAGTCCAGTGAGAGGGACACAGTGCAGTTTACAGTATGTTTTCATTTACGGTCGTAGATAACAGCGTGTGTTATCTGAACACGTGGGAATAAGTTACCACCTGGCGAGGACGCATTAATCATTAGACGGTTGGATGATGCAACACCTGGCTGCAGTCAGGTGGGAAACTACAGCAGCTGGCGGATCTCAGATCTGATTCAGGAGCACATGACTCATATTTTAAGAATCGTACAGAGAAACATGAAGAGGCACGAAACAGATCAAAGGGTGAGAACGTTTAAAACAATTAGTTGATTGGTCATTTTTCATAGTATAGTACCGTATCGGTGGGAAAGCAAAGGTATAATGCGATACATGAACCCAGATGTTCATTAAAGGTGCAGTGTGAAGGATTTAGTTGCATCTAGCAGTGAATTTGCAGATTGCAACCCACTCGCTTCACCTTCAACTTCCAAGTGTGCAGGAGAAACTATAGTGAAGTGAAACTCGTAAAACAAACGTGAAACGGCGTCAAGAGCCAGTGTTTTGTTTGTCCGTTCTGGGCTACTGTAGAAACATGGCGGTTCAACATGGTCGACTCCATGGAAGGCGACCCTGCAGCGTCTGCAGATAACAAAAATACAACAATTCTTATATTGAGATGATTATACAATAAAAAATATACTTTACATACATATTATATCTATAGATCCTCCTAAATGTTACACACTGGACCTTTAAAGTATTTATTTTTCAGCCAAATACCTTAAGTAAAAACAAGAAAACGATATAAAGAGGTACAATACAGCGCTGGGCAATCAGTGTTTGATATATTAAGAAAAAACATTTCTCAAACTTACACTTACATTTTTTATTGAACTTTACTACAGTTATTTTAGGAATTATGCATGCTTGCATATTTCTTAAATTAACATTTTTAAAAAACATGTCACATACCCCCTGTAGTACTCCAAAGTACCCCTCAAGGTACACGGCATTAGCCTTAATTATCACGTAAATGCTGAAGTAAACTTTGAGGGCCAACAGATGAGCTGCATGTGTCACGAGAACTTGAGCTGGAACATGAGTGAAACCTGTCAGCAGCTGTGTGGAGTTATCTTCATCTCAAGGAAGACAAAACAGTCCCGCCAAGTTCAATTTATTCAATTTATTCAAATGTAATTTTAAACGTTAAAAATAAAATGCTGCTAGAAGTTCTGTGTGAAGACGTTTAAACAAAAAGAAGCAGTACTGACTTCCTGACTCGTGTTGTGAGCTGTGTAGAATATTTGTATCAAGGTTTGAGCGTGATGTTTTTTTAGATGGCTAGGTTAAGCAAAGTGCATCCATACAAATATATTATTGCAGGTTTAGTTATTTATGAGTAAATGGATGGTATCAGTATCAGCAGATACTCAAGGTCGCTGTATTGGACTTGTTAAAGTGGAATTGAGCCATCTCTATAAAACAATACATGTTAAGATATAACAATTTTATATAGAAAGACAATTTATGAATAAATCTCTTTTTCTGCATCTTTGGAGTTACACTTAGTTTTTATTTTCTCTCATATCAGCAAATATGTTATATATATATATATATATATGTATACAGTAAATTATAGTAAAGAAATGCCAAAGTTATGTTTGAGGTCATTTAGAAAGCGACATCATCAGATAGTTTGTCACCAGAGAGCATTGACAAGTTTATTTTTCACCTTTAAAAGATCCTCCTTTAAGGTTGTTTTTAATAGTAAAACCTGAAACCTCTTCATAACACAGTAAATCTGACTGATTCTCTTCGTCCTGCTGCCTCTTCAATGTGTGAAAGAATCCCAGTAAACATTATGTAGATGCAGTTTTAAAACGTAACACGTCAATCAATCTTTAACTGTCAACATGACAATGTTTCACTTTAATCTTTGTGGTTGTGCAAAGCCGTCGCAGCACTAAAGCACACGCTGTTATTCAAAGCAACTTATTAGGCAAGAAGGAATTAAGTGTCTCGCTCAAGAACCCTTCAACAGCACAGAGGACGGCACCAATTATTCTGTTGATTCACACTGAAGATGCATAAAAGCAACTCTTGCGTCTCTCTCTGCATACGTAATTATAGTACCTGGTCTCAATATACAGAACAGTGGTTTTGTTCAAAGGATTAAAAAACTATTTTCACACAGTTTTTGTTAACAGAAATTCACCTTTGACTTGATACTCTGGTATTTCGCTCTGTGGGTTTGCATAGAATCAGACTAGACTTCTGAGGTAAATTACAGTTAACACACAATAAAAATGCATTTTGCTTCCAACCACTACTGACACAGAGCAGTGAAGGTCAGTCTGTGATCACAGGAGCCACCTGGTGGCTTAAACTTGGCTTCAGTGCAGAGATCTCAAACTGACGGCCTGCGGGCCATTTCCAGCCCCCCAGCCCCCCGGCAGCCCACAACATTACGTCAAAACTATATTACAATACGGCCCTGTAAGGTTATTGTTAGTATATTTTCTAGTTGGTTGATATCAATAAACAAACTGTTCGGTTTTAAAAAGACCAAAAGGTGGAAAAAGACAAAGAAGGTTTCATCCAACTTTTTGTTTGGCTGCAAACAAAGATGATATAATTATTATATAATATAGAAATTAGTTTGTTTGCATTTTTTTATGCTTTTATTTTACTTATTTACTTTTTTATTTAGTTTTGTTGTTAGATGTTTAAAGGTCCAGTGTGTAATATTAAGGAGGATCTATTGGCAGAAATAGAATATAATACTGATATCTACAGACGCTGCGAGTCGCCTTCCATACTGAACCACCGTGTTTCTACAGGAGAACAGACAAACCAAACACAAAACTGACCTTTTGCGACACACTTTACATCCTAAAATGTGTTTAGTTTGGTACAAAATGATGGCAAAGGTCAAACGTGTCTGCAAGGGCATGTAACGGGTTGATAAAAAGTCAGCAAGTCTTGGGCCTTCATTTAATTTATTGTGTGGACGCATCTTTAAACAACAAAGATGATATAAAATTATGATATAAAAATGTATAGAAACAGCTGTATGGTGTTAGTAATGGAATAACGCACTTTCTCTTGGTACTTGAACACTGAAGTGGCCCTCCGATGAGATGACAACCAGCAAGAGCCTCAAGCCAATTCCAGTTTGAGGCTCCTGCTTTAAAGAACGACACACCAGATGTTATAATTGTGTATTTTCATGTGAACTCAGTTTATTCAAAATAATATTTAAGATAATGTAGAATGACACTCTTATCTTACGGTCACGACTAAGAGTTTGATATTGTTAATGAGAAAAATGATGCATATGGCTATTTATTTATAATGAAGACTTGTAATATTACAGAAACAGTCTTCATATTTAAATACTGAACTACAGAAGCAGAAAAACTGGCTGCTGCTCTGTTCGGTTTAAAATAAGCAGCAGTGCACTATGTGTAAATTACGATGATTTTATTGAGTTCCTGCAGCTCTACATGGAGGAGGAGCGGCGCTCCAAAATGAAACCAGAAATACATTTACATACCAGATACACACATATAACACATTCACTTCCGATACCAGATCTTCATCTTCTTCTCACGTTTGATTTTCTTCTGCAGCTGTAAAGTCCCGTAGAGGAGAGCCTCTGCAGTGGGGGGACAACCTGAGGACAGGAGGGTGAGGAGAGGGGAGAAACTGAGCAACTTGTGAATGTTTAGAGAAGATTTCAATTCACAAACTCTGACTGATGAACAGCATCTGTTAATTATTCTCTGATAGTTTATTTATATAGTTGGATGCAAATGTCAGCATACACTGATCCTATAAGTCTACAAGACACTGCTAAATAAAGACTGGAATTAACTATGTGCTATATGCAGAGTGAAAGCTGCTGCAGTCGTACTGAGAGCACAAAGATGCAGGACAATTCTGGGACAGTAGAGAAATGAATTAGTATACATTCAGTTATTACGTTTGTGTGTCATTGAATATAAGTCAACTTTCTCTCTAGATTTGGCAACTTTTCAGACCCTCTTAGCAACTTTATTTCTTAAAAAAGCAACTAGCAACCTTCAGTGATAAAGGGGGGTAAATATATTAAATTATAATATATTGTGATCTTATAATCCACATGCATGCTGCTCAGAGTAATCACAGCCCGAGGGTCGCTCTCTCTGTCCGCAGTCAGACGGTGTGGAGCACGTTTGACCTTCTCCTTCACGCTTTCTCTCCGGATCTCTGGATTAGGACGTTCATATAGCTTACATGTAAATAGTTAGTTTGAGTTTGTAAATATTTAAATAGTCTGTTTGATCTTCTCCCCTCCTTTTTTTTTTTTTTTACTTCAAATATACGATGTCCCTGTAACTAGTTTGTGATTACTTGGCTTAATAATAATAATAATAATAATAATAATAATAATAATAATAATGATGTTTAATGTAAATTTCTGTCCCCATATATGAATCAGAAACAGGTTTGCATTGGTTTGGCTGTTTGCAGCGATGCAGCTAGAAATAAACAAGAAACAGTAACTCAACTGGGGGATAAACGAGGGGAACTTCAAGTTTTTTATTCGGATATAAACAGCATTTTTAATTAGGGAACAACTAGCAGAACCTCCATGGTGGAACAGAGTGAGTCTATGAAGTGATGCAAGTTACTGAAACTAAGTTCAAACAATAAACTATATTATATTAATTATGTGGAATGAAAAGAAGAACTTCAATTTGGGACAGTTGTGGGACACCCAATCATGTAGTTTCACTATTTATTACACGTAGTTCTACCAGTACTTGTAATATTACCAATATCTGTGAATAATCCAAGTACTTAATTAAATAAGTAATAAATCTACTAAAGCTACAAAATTAAATTAGCAGGTCTGATGGTTATAACCTATTCAGTCATATTATAGTCATACTATAGTCAGTTGTATGGGGGGATTGTCATGTTCAAACAGAAAAGGGTTTTACCCAAAGAGTTGCCACAAAGTTGAAAACACAATATTGTCTAAACGACAGTATTTCTCATTTATAAAAAGACATTTGTAGATTATATAATTTCCATATTGGACAGTAAAGTTTACCTGGAACGTAAATGTCCACTGGTACGATTCGGTCACAACCTCTGACGACAGCATAGGAGTAGTGGTAGTAGCCTCCTCCATTAGCACAGCTGGAAGAGGAACGTTATTAAGACACTTACAATAAAAGTTTAAACCCATACAGTTGTAATTAGACAAACATATTCCACTTGCAACTCCCAACTACAATAAAATCCATAAACTCAACCCATACTGGTAAGGTTCACATACGATGAGGCTTGTAGTCACAGAGCAGAAAGAAGAACATTGGGCAAAAGCAGGAATAAACAAATCACAGCAAAGCTAAACATTCAGAAACATAGTTAGGTAAATGTTAGAATGAGATCAGCTGTGGAGACTCCACAGATACAAGCCATAGGCTACATTACCGACGCTGGAACTAAGAGTTAACTCACCTTCCCATGGAAATGACGTATCTGGGCTCAGGCATCTGGTCGTACACCTGTTGGGAAGAAGGCGCAGTTCAGTCCCTCTTATATAATGTCTGACTAAGAGCTAATCTGTCCTTTCAGCTGGAAGAAGGCTTCATGCCTGGCTACCAATCCACCGGCAGGCTGGTCTTAATCCAGCCAGAATTTAAACAGCTATACTGTTCTCATCCTGCAGACAGAGAGGTCTGAGACACAGTGGGCTGTTGTTTTGAGCGTCATTAGTTGAATTACACTTGCTGAAGGTCCCATTGTTGCTGTTACATCCCGCTGTTTCCCTTCCTCACCTTCCGCAGGGCCGGAGCCATCTTATTGGTCAGCGTTCCTGCCACGATCATGACATCGGCCTGTCGGGGACTCGCTCTGAACACCACTCCGAAGCGGTCCATGTCGTAACGAGGCGCCGCCATGTGCATCATCTCCACAGCGCAGCACGCCAGGCCAAAGGTCATCGGCCACAGAGAACTCTGAGGGCGTTAGCAGAGCAGCGATACGTCAGCAAAACACTAACTGAGCAGACAAATTAACACAGCTGCTTATGGTACAGTCCAACACACACACACACACACACACACTTAAACAAACAATTAATTAATTCTTTTATAGATTATTTCCTGGGGAAAAAAACTGTTGTATTGAGAATTGTTTTAGAGAAAATGCCATGTAACAGCCTATGAGTCCATGTTTGTGGATCTGTTGTCATTTGTTTCCTTGTTGCTACATTTCTTGGTTGTGCAGTGTTTGCATCAGCAGCCACAGACATTCAAGCAACAACTCCCCGGCTTGATATTTCCTTAAAACCGGTGACTGTCAGACCTCCGGTACCACTGACACATACTGTTCAGTGGTATTCAAGTTAGCTGCTTTTGTAATCACGGCCTTAAATGCTGGTGTGAATAATAAACTGCACCAGCAATCAATATATACAGTGCTTTATATTCTACTGTCAGGAGTACATAATATATATGTTAATGTCAGCACGTATATAGGGAAGGCTTTTATTACTGTAGGGGTTTCTTGTCCCCACAAAATGGTATATATGTAACTTTAACATTACTTCCTTTTAAATACTAAATATCTTCAAATAGTTGTACTGCACAAGAAGTAACTGAGTTACAACAGTTGTTTCAGCTCTGTAACAATATGGCAGTATATGAAATTTCATATCATATGAGAAATTAAAACTGGTATACTGGTCCATCCAGAATATTACCCAGAACTACATTTATATAAGAAATATTGTATCCAGGCAACTGAGATGAGATGGTTCAGATACTTCACAACCTCAGAAAGATGAGATTTTAAATGAATAACAGATCAAACAGCAGCAGTTTAATCTAAAGACTGAGATCTATTTCCAAAAGGCAACACCACTAATGATGTGACGTGTTAAAACAATGTGAAACAATCACACGCAGCCGGAGTCACATCATCTCCAGAGAAGAGACTTGGTTTTATTTCTAGGTGTGAGAACAAACAGTCTCATTCTCAGTTAGACAAATGAAGATGTAAAGTAAAAGAGAAACCACTGCACCAGACATATGTGGATGCCAACACAGCGGACATCCTCTCGTGTACTCACCCTGCGCGCCCAGTTGACCAAGTCGTCCAGCTTAGTGATGACATACTCCCCCTTGCTGCTGGCTACAGCCGCTGGTTTGGCTGCTGCCACCGCCGTGCTCTTCTCTCTGACTGGAACCACACTGCAACAGAAGGATGGAGGGGATCTTTACCATGTGCAGAGTGTTTACTGAGGGTCTGTTCTCCAGTCTTATATTTACACCAGAGTATTTATGGTAAACTCACGTCGTGGTGGCATTCTCGCTTTTTGCACTGCTGTGCAGACTCTTCTGTGAGACAGCAAACACTGAAATGGGCCTGTTGGATGGAGAGAAAGTCAGAGGGAGAAACAACAGTAAAGTAAGTGCGTGAATATTTTAACCATAACAGTCAGTGAAATAATAGAAAGCCCAAAAACAGTTCCACAAGAGGGGAATATTGTAATTGTATGGTGTTAAATTAAATAATTTCGAGACTGTGTGTGGGGGACAGATGGGCAAATTTTATTGTGGGATACGATGATTTTGTCTGAGCTTCCTAAACTTAGTGATGCTTTAGAGGATTAACTTGACTGTGCCTCCGAACAGCATACAGGCTGAGCGCTCCTGCTGCCGAAAGCAAGACTGCACCGCACACTCAGCCCTTGTTTATGAGTGAGGGCTGTTTTATCTTACTGTTCTCTTCACTGGGAGATCATCTGACTCAAAACTAACAGAGATATTGACCAAAACTAACAAAATAAAAACTGGGTAGGTTTAAAGTGAGTTGTTAAGATACTTTTCAGTCACCTGACCTATTGTAATTTGGTAAACATGTATATTTTTGGGCTGCCTACAGAGATTGAATTCAATTAGTTAGACCTTAACAATAGCCAAGTAATAAATGTGTTTAAGTGTGAATGAAAGAACAACCCCAACCCTGTGAAGGTTGTAATAATGAAGCAGCTGTAGGACCAGGAGGAGAAAGCTCCAGTAAGCCAAGTTTGGAAACAAGGAACAGGATTAAAAAGGTTCTTACCTTGTTGAAAAGCAGCCAAACAGGGCGAGGCGAGGCGCTGCGAAACACAAGCATTTAACAAACTGAATACATTTCATAAGATTAGTGATCCACTTACTGACAGCTGTATTGTTCAATCACTGAAGTTTGCTAATGAGCAGCACAGATAACTTTATGATGAACACAAGAGTTTCAGATAACCTCAAGCCAAACACATAACACAAAGTCTGGACATTATTTCCAGTATAAACTACATAAATTGTACAGAATGATACACAATACCCCCTTCTACTTTATTTTATCCAGTCCAGTGAAATGATTTAAGGACTACTGTTTTTACTGAATTAACTGCTGCTTGTTGCCGAATTGTAGAGCAGCTCCTGGCGATTTGTAGAAGCCCTAAAGTGATACCTGAAGCCCAATAAAGTTCACAAATACAGGCGAGGACTTTAAAACTGGCCGAGTTTTCAACAGGAGTTTGGTTCGACACTCGGATGAGCCGCAGTGGGGCTAACGACACTGTAACGGTGGTCTACCGACAGTGTCAGACACAGACGACCACAATCATTAAGTGTAGTATGTTATAGGTTATATAAATATATATATTAATATATATATATGTGTTTAGAGACGTTGTCCTGAGCTCACATCAGTGCTACTGTTAGCTAACAGCGCAAGGTCAGTGTGCGCGTTCCCTCAAAGTTAGTAATCCGATTACCGACAGAGTGAAACCGCCGCGTGGTGCCCCTCTCTGAGTTTAATGCTGCAGATTATCTGATTGTCTGCAGTCTCACAACACGATAATGTTCAATAAAAACGTTTCTTTTTAGTCACAACATCACTCACCGAACAACGCCGCCATCTTTGAAGATTATTGTTACGTCAGAGTGCTTCCTGTGCCTGTGAGCTCGTGCGGCAGGGGGCGCTGCCGTAACGTTGACAACGGGCTTCTTCTTCTTCTTCTTCTTCTCGTTTGGTGGTAGATTTACTTTGAAGGTGCAGACCGCCACCTGCTGTACCGGAGTATGTAGACATTGACAGTATATAATAACAATAACAACAACAATAATAATCATAACAACAATAATAATAACAACAATAATAACAATAATAATCATAACAATAACAATAATAATAACAATAATAATAATAATAATTATAATGATATAATAATAATAATAATAACAGCAATAATAACAATAATAATCATAACAATAACAATAATAATAACAATAATAACAGCAATAATAACAATAATAACAAAAACAACAATAATAATAATAACAATAATAACAATTATAATAATAACAATAATAACAATAATAATAACAATAACAATAACAACAACAATAATAATGATAATAATAATAATGATAATAATAATTATAATATATAATAACAATAATAACAATAATAATAATGATAATAAAAATAATGATAACAATAATAACAACAATAACAATAATAACAATAATAATAATGATATATTAATAATATAATAATAATAACATAATAATAATCATATAATAAAATAATAATAATAATAATAATATATAATAATGATAATAATATAATAATAACAATAATATTAATATAATAAAAATTATTATTATTATAATAATATATTTTACATTGCTAACAAATATGCAAACATTAATAAAAACTTTCCTGATCCTTTGTATTAGTCGTTCCTTCTCTCTATTTATTACATAAGTATGTGTTCTACATTTTCGTTTATTAGGTAATATAGAGGTTATATTTGCCCTATTTCATGTAAAATGGCCACAAGAACAGGAGGGTGACCAGAGCAAATATTGAAGATATTCATCAACAAAGCAATCCAAAAACACAGCAAAAACATTGTTTAGAGAAATTAAAACTGGCCTATGTAAGCAAGAAATAAATCATCTGACAAGATACCACAAATCATCAGTTTAAAATATTCCTTTTAGACTGATTGTTCATATTTATCTTATTTATCGAGTTACGCACTCATCCTCCCCCTCAAACATGAAGATTTAATGTGTTTGTAACCCTTGTTAAACTGCCAGGAATACAATTTTGGTGGGTAAACACTGGATCCTTTATTTCTGTGGGATTTACATACAGTTTTCAGTGCTTCCCAGAACAAAATACAGAGGATCTCCTCAGTGTCTTAGAGGTATTTCCAGCCCTGCACTGGTGTCTCTGCTGCTGACAGGAACCTCCATCACATGAGAGGTGGACCAGGGAGGTAGTCAACATTTTTGAGATACTGAATCTCTCTCTCTCTCTCTCTCTCTCTCTCTCTCTCTCTCTCTCTCTCTCTATCTATCTATCTATCTATCTATCTATCTATCTATCTACCAAGTGTAATATGTATAAACATTTACTGTCTCCAGTGACTTGTGAGTTGGGCAACACCGACTGATAATTAGTATTTTAGTAATATTAGTAAATAGAAAGTCTGGATACATTATTAATTGTTTATTAGCTGTTTAGCGCCCCCCAGTGGGTGACTTTCATGGCCTGCATTTGAGGAACTGCAGTGTGACTCTTTGTGTATTTCTGATTGTAGTTTACAGTTTACAGCTAATGTCACTGACTGTTTTTGTTCTTGTGTCTGAGCAGAGGAAGAAAGTGTCCGAGTTATTAGCTGCAGATCAGGATTGTGACTTAAAATATATATACAACAACATGTTTGAGTTTTATATTCATGAATTTATTTTAAAGCTCTTCTTTCAAAGCAGAAACTAATCTACCTGGTGTCCATGCAACAAACACATAACTGACTAATTTAAAAACACAGAAATAAAAGTAACTTCCACCACAATCCAGCATGAGGATACATCAAATATTATTCTGCTCCCAAGTGGAAACAACTGGACTTTTATTTATTGCCTCGCAGGTTAATCTGTGAGAAATCTTTCTTACACAAACAGTCACAACTTTGGAGAGCGAACTGTGTCTGTGGCAGAATACGACTCACATTAATCTTTACAAGAACTGCCTTTGTACTTTCACTTTAGAGGTTAGAACTTGAGTCTGCCTGACCCAGATAATTAGATTGGAGCTGGTTCTGCTGGTCGAGCTGCATTTGTGCCGAGTGTTGTCACAACAAGCACATTAATTCAATCATACACATCAGAATCAAAACACACTTCTCACACAGCGACCTGAGTATGGTTTATACATGAAAATGTGCGCCTGTGGTTGTATTTTGTTGTGCTGGTAACATGAGCGTCTCTCCAGCAGTAATGCAACTTGTTTGTTTGTTGTGCAGTTGATTAACTACAGTATTAAATGTTTAAGAGACAGTGAGATGTGGTTAAAAGCTCTTCTGTCAAACTACTACACTAAAGCTGCTCATCAACACAGCTTCATAGCAACCAAATGCAAGACCCAGCATGAACAACGACAACAAACACCGTTGAAGCTCTTGAGCAAGGCACTGGAAGGAGCTGCTGACAGCCGCTGACTTGTTTCCAGAGGAGAGAGATCATGGATGTCTTTCCATGGATTTATATTGAGCTCATGAGGCCGCAGCAAAACAGCCTCACAGGCAGGAGCAGAGCAGCCTGGCACTGCGGCCAACAGAGTATCAATCAATCCGATGATTATTGTTTTTGATTAATCATTTAGTCTATTAGCCTTGAGTTCAAATGACCTGCTGTGAGCCACAAGCACTCAAATGGGATCAGAAAGCTTCGTAACAGCTAATAATGGTGAGGTTGTGCAGGTTTGAGCAGCTTGTCTTCCTCCTCTTCTCTCCATCATAGCTGCTCCTCTGTTTGTGTATTTCTGGAGGAGATTTATAAAGAATTTTACTTGCAGATGAGAACAAAAATAAGTCACCCTCTCTTTAGTTGACTGCTTTCAACTTTTGTTTTAGGTTGAAAAAGATATATTTTAGTGTGAAGGCAGCCACATTAAAGGAGAATATTGTCTTAGTACTGACCATTTCATTGATTGTTTTTCTTTACTGTTACCTTTCTGCTGCATCTCTAAACAAATTAATTTCTGATCTAATATGATTTTATTAATGATATTAAATAATAAGTACTTTGAGAATATTATGTATGAAACTGCTGTATAAATAAAGTTTATTATTATCATTATTATTATTATTATTATGTCACTATATGAAGTTGCACATTTAGGTAGAGCTTGCAAAATATTAAATAAAAAAAATAAAACAAAATGTATGTGGATGAAATGGTTAAAATAAAGAGAAATACCCCCAAATCATGTTGAATTACATTAATTTGTAGGTCATATTCAACATTTTAAACTTTTTAAACTTGAGATTGTCCCCAGGCCGGTAGTTTCAGGCTACAAAGGGTTAAATATGATGAACAGTGTGCAGGACTCAACCACTTTTCACTGAATTGGAAAAAGGAAGTAAATCTGAGCATTTGTAAAATGTTAAGAGTCAAATGAATTGCCTTTAATTAAAGTAATTTGGAAAAGCTCAAAAGCACATCGTTAACATCCTGTTTTTGTTTTGGCCTCATTTTTTTGCGCCACAAACCGAGCGTGCATCATCATCATGCAGCAGCAGCGAGGACGCCAACAGGGTGGAGATGGAGAGCGACCAGAGAAACATGGAGAGCATGTTATCTTGTAATGACAGTCCCAGCTCTGAAAACACACACTGCAGTGTCTCCAGGAATAGACGGAGAGTCAGTGAGGGAACTGAAAACTGGTTTTGGAAATGATGAAAAGACTTTTGTTTCTTTTTTACAAATGGCTTTTATTCTGTCTTCATCATGTACAAACTTTTTTTTTTTTTTGGACAGTTGAAATAATAAAGTCTGAAGCTGCTTTGCTCGTGGTTTAAGGGTCAAACCAAATTCAGCCACAAATATAGCAGAGCTTTTAAGTACTTGGAGTTCAAAACATTAAATATAGGCACTGGAATAGCTTTAAAGGACAAATGTTTTAAGACTACAGCATTGTTCAAAGGCCTCCTCCGCCACTAACTCTTGTATTTCAGATAATAAGCATGAATCCACATTTTAAAAAAACAGTCCTGTATAGGAGGAGCAAAAATACAAGTTAAGCCGTCACAGACTTGGAGGTTATAGTTGCAGCGTGTGTTGCTGTGCTGAACTGCAGACCACAGGAATGAACTATTTTTGGAAAGATCTCCTCCTCTGAAAGAAGAAAGCGCAGCTCGCCTCCTCACTGAGCGTCCAGGATGTCTGTGGGTAGGATGTCTGGTTTGCCACTCGGGCTCTGTGATGTCTCCCCTGACCAGGAAGAGGGGGTGACCTGATTATAGAGGACGTCCTGAGAGCCAAAAAGTGGCTGTTTGAGATTCAGGCTGTACATGAGGAACAGATTGAGAGCCACCATGGCGAGGAGCGGGAAGACGGTCAGGCCAGAGCCGAAGCCTCGCCAGGAGCTGCACACGTTCAGGCTGACCCAATAAACAAGCCTGTAGAGGATTTTTAAACACACACACACACACACACACACACACACACACACACACACACACACACACACACACACACACACACACACACACACACACCCAAACAGGAAATCAGATCAAGTTCAAACTTCAGTGATAAACACTCACAACCTTCCTGACAGCGTTTCATGAAGCAGCAGTTCAACCAGGACAGAAAGAAGAATTCAGAACGTTTTATTAAGTAAAAAAAAGATCAATAAATTACTCCTTTACACATAAAAGTCCTGCTGGCATCAATGCATACTACTTCTTTATACTGTATGTCCTTACTTTGATATAGTAGTATAATATACTATATTGTATATTGGGAGTAGAGGGGTTGTAAGATGAGTAATAAGAATAAATAAAGTTTTGCGACACAGATTTATATGTTCATTATTTGGGCTTTTCTCAAATATTTGTGAAATATTGGATAAATTTACCCCTTTGAGTCTCAAATAATTATACAAATGTAGAAGTTTAGAGAGGAAATTTACTCTGA